GAAAAACCTGCAAAGAAAATATATATAAATTGAAATTTACTGATTGCATAAGTATTCAGCCCCCCAAGTCAATACTTGGTGGAAGCACCTTTGGCAGCAATTACGGCTGTGAGTCTTTAGGATAGGTCTCTACCAGCTTTGCATAATGCAATGGTATAATTTTTGCCCATAGTTCCTGGTAAAATTGCTCCAATTCTGACAAGTTCATTGAGGATTGTTGATGGACTACAATTTTCAAGTCTCACCATAAATATTCAGGACTTTGACTGAGTCTCTATAAGACATTCACTTTTTTTCTTTTGAAACCACTCCAGTGTGGCTTTAGTCTTGTACTTCAGGTGATTGTCCTGCTGAAATGTAAATTTTTGACCCAGTTTTAAATTCTTGGTTGACTCAAGCAGGTTTTCCTCTAGGATTTGCCTGTACTTTGTTCCATCCATCTTCCCCTCAATCCTGACAAGCATCCCAGTCCCTGCTGATGAGAAGCATCCCAATAACATGATGCTGTCTGCACCATACTTAAGAGTTAGGATGGTGTTGACTGGGTGATGTGCTGTGTTGAGCTTGCAACAGACGTAACGTTTTGAATTTAGACCAAAAACTCAATTTTTGTCTGTTCTGACCACAAAATCTTCTGCCTCATGTTTGCAGTATCATTAATATGCTTTGTTGCAAACTCCATATGAGATTTAAGATGATTTATTTTCAGTAATGGCTTCTTTCTTGCCGCTCGCCCATACAGGCCAGTTTTGTATAGAGACCAGAATACTGTCGATGTATTAACACCGACTCCCATCTCAGTCATGGAATTTTGAAAATCTTTCATTGCTTGGCTGCTTAGTTTGAAAGGGTAGCCTGTTCTGGGTAGTGATGGAATGGTATGATGGGCTTCACTCTATTCAAAGGGATAATAAGCAACTTTGAAATTTTATTGTAACATTCTACTGATCTGTGATTCTCTACTATTTTATCCCTGACTTGTTTGGAAAGCTCCTTGGTCTTTATGGTTGGTGTATCTTATTACTATTTGAGTTGTGGTTTGAAAAGAAGCATTTACTCTGAACTCAAGTTAAACCACTTTGATTACACAAAGACAGAGACCATTACACCAATTTTGTGACCTTTCAAACTAATCTATTGCACCTGAAGTGATTTAGGGTTGCTGTAGCAAAGGGGTTGAATACTTATGCAATTGATAATATTCTAATCTTCTTTGAAAATCTAATTTGCTTACATAATATCAACGTTTTTTTTAAGCTTTCTCAATTTGTAGTAGATTGTGTAGACTATAAATATAAAATCCCATTTGAAAGTCTCATGATTGCAAGCTCCTACAGCAACAAAATATGGAAACTTTGCAGGGGGGGGGATACTTTTACAAGGCATTGTACCTAATAAAGATACTTTGGCATGAAATTGTTTTTTAATAAATCTCCTTGAAACATTGAAAAATAAAACTTTACACAGCAATATAACAGAAATCAGGTTTCTAGAAGATTGATGTTTTGACATTTACCTGTTTGTAGATATCCAAAAGAGAGACAGAGGCAGGATTATCCTCCACTAATCTCATCTGAGGACTAACAGCTACTACCCTAGGGACAGTGAAATTCAAGAAACGTCTTGCAGTTTCCTTCTGTTTTCCAAGGTAGTGGTTTAGCATGCGCAAAAGCTGTAGGACTCTTTCTTCCCGACGTGCATCACTAAGACAAGAATCATTCACTACTAGGTATGGATACACCTAAGAGAGAAAGAAAAACCACACTAACAATGGCATACAAAGAAGTTGTTGCTGTTTTTGAGAGGAATTGAAACACAGATTTTAGAATTCTAAATCTGTAAACTTACCACTGATCCACAAACTGATCCTAAACTTTAGATTGTTTCACATTTCATACTATTAAAAACTGTTAGAACTACAAACATTACTTCAATATGGTGTGTGAAATTTCCATTACTCAAGGTCTAGTTTAACTTAAATTATGCAAAACATATATTTCTTTTGTGTTAAACAGAAATAATTCTTTGAACTACCTTGCCATTGTGACCCCTGATGTAGAGACGACGAGCTGCAGTGTGGTGTTTTTGGACTATTTCCACTTTGGGCATGAAACGGGCTATCCTTACATAGTAATGGTTATGCTTTTTTAAAGGTAAAAACAGAAGAAACAAATTAGGTTGTTTCTCAAATCATAAAGGCAAAAATAATTCAAGTGAAATACACTGATTAACCATTTGTCAAATATTAAAGAAAATAATAATAGGTATATAAAGTCACCACTTTGATCTGATTTCAAACAAGATATCTATACTTGAACCAGAAAATGAAAACATGTTGTCTAATTTCTTTGCCTTGTTTTCTATTTCAATGTTTTTGATCTCCACTAATGGTGTTTAAAACATAAATACAACAACCTATTATTGAACTTGAAAATGTAAAGTAATAAATAAATCATCTGATGTCTTCTGTTATTAAATTAATAACTGAAATTAAGTATGTCATCAACTCAATCAAAATTTTGAATAACATCTTTTTTTTAAGGAGAAAAAACTTTTACTCCCATTCACTATCATGTGGCAAACATATTTAGCTACTCATGGTGCAAGTATAAAATTTACAGCTGTAAATAAATTATCAAGCTTAATATTCATAACTTGTTTTGGCATTTTTCTATACTTTTTAAGTGAAAATATGAAAGAGTTATATATGATCATATTCTTTTTATGATTTAAAACAGGAAAAATAATTTGAAATTTAGAGTGGAATTTAAAACCATAAATATGTGTTACTATTATCAATATAAGCATTACAGGCAAGGTAAAAAATCATGAATGACCTATTCTGTTATGAAAATTTAACTAAAAAAAGAAAGATGTGTAAGAATTAAAATATGTCATATTAGTTTTTCTAAAGGTTATTTATATTAAAAAAAATAACTGATAAATGAATTTTCAAGAGTTTTTGAATTGTGCAAACTACTTTTCAATTTTTGTTTTTTTATTTTGGTATGTGCTTAATCACCAGCCTATAATATTAAAATGCAATCAGTCTAGAATACAGTAACTATAAAAGGAATCAGAATGAATTACCTTGGGAAGCAAAAATTCTCCTGGCATCTCCACATCTGCTGTCTGCTGAGAGAAGTTACTCAAAAATCGACATTTCTCTTCTATCAAGAAGGACCTAACAATAAAGGGGGGGGGGGTTAATCAGTACCAACTTAAAATTACTAATTCAGAAGCTGTCAAAGCTGTTGGTTCTTCTATATTTTTATAACTGAGACACATTTTCAAACTGAACATCTTAACTAGTAGAATACCAGTATTATAATTACACTACCAATTTTTACGATCATACACCACCTAGATACAAGAACAAATTATAATTACCTTCAATTCATAAAGTTTTAACAGATGTTTTCAAACCTATAGAAGTTAATTTCTCTTAGTTTTAACATTCGTTATTGTGTACTAAAACACTTTATATATTTGTATCTACCTAACCATCTATCTGTTAGTCTATAAGTATACATGAGCTTTGTTGAAGTTTAACATTGTGCATTACTAAATTTGATATCAATTCATATTTTAGACTATATTCAACAAGAATCAAAATTCAGTACAATTCTTTACAATCAGTAACATGTTTATTATACATTCAAACTTTATCACTAGGTAACAGAAGGTAGCTTTTTTCAAAATAATGACTTTTATTATAAAATAAATATCTTGAAGTAAACTCCAAATAAGTTTTAAGAGATGTTGGTTGTATCCACAAAATAATACAGTTTTTATCTATTTTAACTGTATAATGAATACAAAAAACAACTGTTATAAAAATATATTGATTTTTATAACAATTTTTATGCCTATTGGTTCCCAATAGTTTGCTGGCTTTCAGCATTTGAACAATAAGTATTTTTTTATCACTTACTTTTTTATTTGAAATAATATACATATAAAAATAAGATTAAGAGCTCACCAAAATCCTGTATGCATTTTAATGGATAAATACAATGTGTGAAAGTAAAGCACGTGAATCTAGCAGACATTTTTACAACACTTTCTATATTTTGTTAATAGAGAGCATACATTGTTACATTTTAAAAACATTTCTTTCTCCACTATATTAGTCAATAGAAAAATATCTATAAAAATTTAAGCAGTAAGATTGCATACTGATAATAGGCATACTTGATATATCATCAGTTGGTTCACTAATCCAACTATGTTGTTGCAGGAATATGTTTTAAATAATATTTAATAATTATAACATTTTCAGGCACAGTGCAAATAGCTCTTCCTTAAAATAACAGCCAAAATGATATGACTGATTTATTCCATACTGCACTTAATTTTAATTTCTCATCTATATAAATCTGTGAACACACTTAAATGAGTAGTGAACAATTTGGACTTAGAAGTTATTATAAAGATCAGAACATCAGAAAAAGAACAAACATCCTTATGAGGCAGACTGGTCATACAGTTGCATGAAGTTCATTCCTATGTTGATTACTTTTACTGACTGAATTTTAGTTAAGATTTTAATACACAAACAATATATAATCTGAAGCAAAATTAACAACATAAGTATCTATCTATATTTTTTTTTTTATAAAGATAACACAACAGTTACATTAATTGTAAATTCAAAAAGAAAGATAGCATATTAAACTCAACAGTATCTTTTTATCTTTCATTAGTTATTTATTTCAATCAATTAGACTAAAAGAAGCATTGCATATAAAAGACACTTGTGGAATAAAACACTTAACATCTAAGAATCTGACTTGTAATGATAAGATGAAAAAGATAAATATACACAGAAATTAAACATTTTACTGATTAATTATTAGTAGATATATAACATTTTAATGTTAAAAAATAAAGTAAATGAATGACTGTTGTTAATTTGTTTGTTTGTTGTTTTTAAGCAAAAAGCTACATAATATGCTCTGTCCTCCATGGGTATCAAAACCCGATTTTCAGCATCATAAGCCTCAAGACTTACTGCTGAGCAACAAGTTAAGTAAAAATGGCATATAAAACAGAGCAGAATGTTGATTATTGAACAAAGATGAGACTACCACAATAAATCTTGACTCTCTCTGTAGCTGTCCAATCAGAAAACTGTATCAAAAATATCTGGGAGTATCCCTGTTCCATGCAACAGATAGCAAAATCATCATTGTACAATGAAATAAAAATGTTGAAATAAAATGAATAATATCACATTTTTGTCTATAATGGCCCTACATATTGTAACATACAATCTCAAATTAGTTATCATAACAGCTTCTAACCTTTTCACATCAGCTTTCTTGAAATTTTATGGTTTTATTCTAGTACTTTGACTAATGTAGATAATAACAAAATCAGCTAACATAAACATACAGTCAGGTTCCCCATATCATAAACTTGAAGAACTCATTTTCCTCATCTGCAGAGCTCATGAAATTTATGTTTTGTTACATAAACTAAGGAGTTCTAATTATCACATTTTAGTTACTTTTGTTAAACAATATATAACTATGAATAAAAAACATAAATAAAAACTATGATTTGTACCCACAAACACTCAAGGCAGTTTTTGCAGTTAAGCAACAAAGCTTGATAACCCTTGTTGTTTCTCATAAAGTTGGAACTCAAAAAAATAATAATGTAGCTTTCAAATATATCAGTCACGATAAGAGTATGTTCCAAACGTAGTATAAGATATCCAGCTTTCCAATTAAGCTATAAATAGGTTAAGTAAAATTGTTATTGTTTGGAGTACTAAGTCTGCCCATATCATAGAATTGTCCTTGACTAATGGCTTTCAGCTCAAAAATTAAATAGTACCACTACAACATTTACATAGAAGAGAATTTGCTCTTTCTATTGGTTGATTAGCAATGAATCTAGAATTCAGAGAAACAGAGGGGGAGATTCTCTGGTGGGTTTAATAATCTTATTACTATCTCAGCAAACCACAAAAATTGGAGGCTCAAATTTTAGGTTACTACTTACAATTACATACAGTTTATGATTTCAATGAGTTAGAAGCTGTAAAACTTTATCACTGAAGTTATATGTATATTTTTGAAATTGAGAAATCAGAGTTCAGATGTGACACATGACAGGAAAGTCAAGATTGAGAATTTTTTAAATAATTCCTTTTGAAATTAAAAAATTAACACTTAGATAATATGAATATATCAAATATAAGCTATGTTTTCAAACCAGGTTTATTAACACACATTGATAATAAAATTGTTTAATTAAATTTTGAATATAACACTGCAAAAGGTTGTGACATTTGCAGAGGAGCCAGGCCCATATACTAAGGGTCAACTGTCTTATCACTTGTCCTTTTCTGTCTTTCATTCACTTTCCCAAACTGTTGACAAGCAAACTCATGTGCATTGACTAATGTATATTATAACAAAATCAGTATTCTTGCAGACATTACAGAAATTTTTCAGCTGGTCGAGGGCCATACATGAGAGTTACTGGGAGCTTAACTTCAACTCTCAACCTTAAGAGGTTGACTGCTGCTGTAATGCATAACATGCTTTTATTATATACAGCACACAATCATCCTAGTCAATTTTATCCAAGCTCACAAGCCTAGAAAGGATACAATTCACAGTTTCAATGAGCTCTCAGCCAAAATATCAGATTTAAGATAATATGGTAAAATACTAATCTTTAACACATCCAGTAACTTATATAATTCAGCAAACAGCTGATAGTTGAAATCTGCTTCTTGATCAATATGGATATTCTCTGGTATTCATATGTGAACTATCCACTGTTCAACCAATTTGATGGCAACTGTCTGAGCTAATGGATGTGGTTCAGCCAATGTAGTAATCAATTTGAATGAGGGTGCAACAATTACTGTTGTTGGCTTTAAATGCAATATCCATGGCTATTCTCATAAGTGGAGAACCTACAACTCACTGACAGTTTTCCTTGGCTAGGATGATTTTTACTCACTGTGCAGGTAATGCAGTGTTTATACCATCACCCTACTTCTCTACAGGCTTGCTGTAATGTCAGACACTCCCTGGTGTCTCCTGATACTTCTATCACATAACATCTGGAAAATGTAGGGTCTCAGCACCCTTGGGACCACTAGCTGCACCACAGATCAGGCACTATGCTTGCAAGAGTTGTAGCAGTTGTACAGCATAACAAATAACAAAGTAATGGTAATCCCCTTAATTTATTACATTCTATCACATGAAACTTTTAACAAACTAGAACCTAACAAAAAGTCAGACACTGTTTCAAAATACCCACTAGTTCTTATCACTCCTTTCATTGGCAAACAACGTTTTAAACTCAAATATCAAATTAAAAAAAATAATCAAAACATATTACCCATAAATTAAGTTACATTTAGTATTTATGTCAATATTTAGAATAAAAAATATGTTTAAAACCAAAGATGTTTTACCCATTCCTATGTGCTTGTGGGTTGTATATAAATACACTTGTGGTAGCTGTAAAGCTATCTATATTGGTAAAACTACATGTCTCCTACAAATATGTGGGAATTTCAGCTAGAAGCAGATATAAGCTAACTAATCCAACTGAGTCTTGTATCCAATTGCACAGTGAGAATAACAATCACCCCATACTTCTAGAAAACTTTGAATTCTTTATTAAAGAAAGTCTCTCCATTTTCAATGATCACCCAACCCTAAATAATAACATCAACTCTTTCCTGTTGTCATTAATGTAATCAATTCTGGACTCTCAGTGTTTTTACTTGATATTTATTATTATTATTTTAAAGATAGTGTTTATATTTATATTTAAGCCTTTCTCTATAATAGTTTCTCTTAACAATGTTATTTATTAAACATGTGTATGCCACATGTTTCATCATACATTTCATTATATTGTTACTGTTTAAATCTGTTCTTTATAAACTTCCAATATAATATGAAAACTCACTCAATAGCTAGTGTTTTTTTTTGTAGTTTGAATTTTATAAACAAATATCATTTTTTGAGATTTTAACACTGACGATGGAATTTAAGGAAATTCCAAAACATCCATAATTAAAGATGATTTTGGTATTACCATGCTTTTAATATTTATTGTAAGACTTCGTTTTCCACCTGATTAGACTTATTAACACACTTACTGCAAAATAAATAACTACTTATATTACATCAAAAACTTTCTACTGCTTTGTATTTCCTCCCTTTTTGTCATTTTTATTTGCTCATTTTCCTAGTAACTGATTACATATTAAATATTTCTGTCTTACTTTGGAAGAAGCTTGGTCTTGGCTTCTAAAATCTTGATCCACTTCTTCAGTTTCATGATCAGATTGTGAAGTTTCATAGCTCCAGGGGCACTAAGAATCAAAGAACTTAAGTTACGTTGTAATAAAATGCCATAAAAAGTCTATTAAGACTACAGTTTGTAATAAATAGCTACCTGTGAATAACAAGAATATCTCATTATTTGAAATATGATATTTTCTTTGTACAGTAAAATTGTTAAGTGAAATTTCTATAAAACTTTGTGATAGTACTTGTACAAAGGATTTTATTAAGGTTTTAAAATAGTTCTGGAGAAACTGTATACAAATGTGATGATCTATAATGGTACTGCACAACCTTTTTATCTTAACTAATATATTACATGTGTGATTCATCTGCATCTTTCAAAAACACAATTTCAGAATTAATTCTAAAAAAAAAGAGAAAACACACAGATCAATTAAATTGCAATGTTCTAGAACAATGCACTACAGTAGCTAAGTATGTGTCAAAAACAGTAAACCTAGAGTTAACCCATTCACTGCAGCTGGGATGTATATTTCCCAGAGCAGTGGGAAATATATGCCCAGCCACAGTGAAAGGGTTAATTATTTCTCTGAAAATAGCACTAAAGAAGCTAAGTATGCGTCAAAAACAGCAACCCTAGAGCTAATCATTTTTCTGAAAACAACATTACAGAATCTAAGTATGTGTCAAAAGCAGCAATACTGTACCTTGAAATATCACTAATTATAGCTTAGAACACTGATGCTAATTACATGACAAAAACATAAACCTACATCTTAAAATAGAACTACTGAAGTTAAGTATATCACAAAATAACACTACTGAAGCTAAATATATCTTCGAACAGCACTACCGAAACTAAATTGTTGTGATCATAAAAAATTAGTAATCTAAAATACATGTTTTTAACTATATGTTTTCACTATACTACAAAATTATGATTTTAACAGCAAGATATGTTAAGAAGCAAGAATAGTTTTTAGAAGCCTTATGCATACAAATAATTCATTGATGACTTTATAAGTTGCTTTAAAAAGTAAACAGTTTATTGTTCTATTTAATTTGATATATTTCAAAAGTTGTATGATCCAATGAATAGTTTACTTACTTGAAATCAAAATCTGTTGTAAATTGTCCCTTCATTTTCTGAAATACTGGATCTTGGGCTGTAGCCTGTGCTCGCCGTGCTAGGGATTCAGAAGCAGCGCTGAAGAAAGTGGTTGATACACTAGACACATTTTCAATACCAACACCAAATGTTGACACCAATTTCCTCACAAAATTCAAAGTATGTGGTGTAACAGTAGCTTCAGAGACAGCTCCTCTATTCTCAAAAGCAACAGCGTAACACTTAGCTAAGCCCTGACGAAGCTGGCGAAGAACCTCTTCGTACCAATTTTCTCGGAACCAAACCATCTGTATTTATTACAAGACAAAAGATTTTATAGCAAAAATTTTGCTAATTCTTAAATTATGAGTCCAAAGTTGGTTATACTGAGACAAAAAGCGTAGAGAAACTGGCTTTTACTGTATTTTACCTTTACTTAATACAAATTTTAGCTATTTTCTAAGTGTCTATTTTTAATATGATAAAAAAAAATTTTATTAGTCAATCTACTTTACAATTTAGAGTATATATTTTTATTTTCAAAAGCTGAAAAATTAAAAAGAATTAAAATACAAAAGCAAAATTGGACTTGAAAATTATCTTTAGCTTTACAGTTCATTTTGCTTGATCTCTTTGTGAAAATTTCTTTCATATAGTTTTTTTTTTTCCATTGGAAAATTATCATCTTGTTATGAAATGTTACTGTAATTTTAGTTAATACTCCACTTTCTATATTCCATCTATAACGCTTTTATTTTAACCCTATAAGTAAGAAGTTGGTCTGTTTGACCAATTATGAAACTGTGAAACTATACATATTTTTACTTTATTATATATAATAAACTCTGAATTTACTATGTGTATTTTCACAAAACTGGGCAAACTTTTAGTAAACACTAAGTTGGTTGTATAAAAAAATCAGTTTTTGATAAAGTATTTCTACTATAGATTTCTCTATTTCCGGAGACTTTAACTAGTCACTGTGAGTGAAAGGTGATTTTCATACTATGAATAAAAATACTTCCTCTTATTTTACAGTTGCCATATTTAATTGTTTAACCACTAAAACCTTATAAATGAATATCAAAAGTGAGTTTTTTGGTAAACTTTACATTTGGTCCAATATTTTCTCTCACTAAAACTAACTGTAATAAAATCATAATTGAACTGTGAAATAAAAGTTGAAAGAAAAAAAAATACCATTTTGTCCTCTGAACTAATTGTAGTATTGATAAGAAAATTTCTAGTTACTTATCTCAACAGTTTCACCTGTTAAACTTTTCACATTTGTTTCTTTTAATTTTATGTTGTTGTTTTGTTGCTGTACTTTGTATCCACTGGAACAGTAATCCTTAAGTCAAAAACAATAAAGTACATTGAGAACCCATTAGCTGTTTCCTGTACAACTAAATTAAACAGCATATGATCTGAGTGTCATGTTTTACATCTTACTTAAGACAGTGAAATGTCAGGTATTTTATTTTACTGAAGTTTAGTTAGGCTAAGCTGAGAAGTTTCTAATTTTTACTTTTTAGTTACTTTTGTTAAATATATATATATAACAGAACATAAAATATATACATAAAAACAAGGATATGCAGTACTTACTGCATACTTGAGTTCATTTACAAGAGTGAAAAATTGATGTTCTTCCATAAGTCTTAAGTCTCACATATTTGGCTGTCCAAGAAAAGAATTCATCTAGCTTTCAAATATGCATTTTAGAATCAGTCACTAGAATATAATGTCCCAAAACTGTTGTAATTTATCCAGATTTCTAAGTAAGCTATAAATAGGTTAAAAAATTCCTACAAGTGTGTTTAGCAGATTATGCAGTGAGGATGGCAAATTCAATATAAAAACACAAGAAACGACTAAGTTTTTCACCAAAAAGAGTACCCAAAAATCTCTTGTATCCAAGGCAGTCTTTAATGTGAATTTTCAATCCTATAAATTACTTTTAAGACCTATTGCAAAATACAATAAAAATCAAATTCCTCTCATCTTAATATAACATCCTGGAAACAAAAAGACAAAAATATCGTCATAATAGCTACAAGTTACTCACAGAAGATTCAATCACCAACATTATTTTTAATGATCATACCTTAATATCTTACCGACACAACACAAATTTTTGTAGCCTTCTAGTGCATAACTTTTGACATCCAATACCAATAATCCAAACATACTTGGTATTCAACTGTGTGAATGAAACAGGCATGTCACTTGTATATACTTGAATAATAATACTCAAATGCACTCCTTCAATATATGGCAGTCCTTCACTTGCATATCCCAATGCAGAGTTACTGTATTCTATGCAACCAACTTGAAAAATTATAAACTGGTCAAACAGATTGCAATCTAGGCAATAGAATCCAGTAGCATCTTAGTCCAATAAGAAGACTGGATAAAGACCATCCCTTCAGTAGGTCCAAAAATAACATCAGTAACTTCTCTATAGTAAGAGTCAAATATGTGTCATCTGATATTGTACAAAGACAATGACTTGAACGCTGACTAATTTTTAAACTGGGGACTCTCCCTCCTCATGGATTAAATAAACATTTCTTTAATTTTAGCAGTGTTATATCTTCACATGATCACAAGATTTATCACATTATTTTAGTTTTATCTGTTACATAGTTTGAAAGTTTTTTATAACATCACAGAGTTCTTTATTAAAAGTATTGTTGTACAAAATCACCAAAGTGTATAGTATTATTAAAACCATGTGATGTTCTTTGTGTCTCTTTCAAATCTTTAATAGTCTATATTTAGATCTGAAGAAGAACAGTAGCACAAAACATTACCTATTAATAAGTTATTTTGGCAATAAATAAACCATTCATGTTTTTATACAAAATTCCTATAACCTTTGATTACCAAAAACAAAATACTTTGCTGACTAATGGTTTATGGTGAGAATGATAAATAACAACTTGTAAGATTTATACAATGAAAATCAACATTTCTATTCTATATAAACATGCCTGTCAGCAGCATAAAGCTGATCACTAAACAATCTCAAAAGTCAGAATTAGAGGGAGGGCTTCTATGGCAGGTATGACAAATTTATTGATATGTCAATGAATCAAGAATGTGGGAGGTTAAAATTTCAGGTTCTTGCTTTAAATTATATATATAGTTTGTGCTTCTAATTGGTTTGAAAGTGCATCTGCCTATTTTTGATGTTAGAAAATTCTGAAAGGGAGAAATCAAAGCTCAGATGCATCTTGTGACACAATAAAATGAAGATTGATAATTTTTAAATCTCTCTTTTGGAAATTAAGAAGTTAAAACTTAGGTACTATACAAATTTGATTTATAAACTACATTTTCAAGCCAAGTTTACTGCCATACATTGATAATAAAGTTGTTTTATTAACCTCAGTAGTACATTTAGAATTATAGTAAACTTCATTATATATAGCTTCACAGATACAGGTTTGGTCACATTGACCAAGCCAGTGAACAGATGGTTAATAACATAGTCTAAAGATAATAAAGAAACATTTAGTCTTTCAAGGCTTCCCTTGCATACCCACCCTTGGAAAAATTAAAAATTTAAACCCATCCTTTACTTTTCAGAAACATTCGATTCCCCTCTTAAACTCCTGAAAAGTGCTAGTGTCCACTACTACCTAGGGCAACTCATTCTATAAATTAATCATCCTCAACAACAACAACAACAAGCTTATATCACAAAGAAATCAGAGGTCTTTATCCTGTCTATTTCATGGATAACCTATTACATGTAAATAACACCACCTCTTACCCTTCTTTTCTCAAGAGAAAATAATAGGTCTTAACCTCTCCCTATAAGATAATGCTTTCATTTCCAGAATCATTCTAGTAGTTCTTCTATGAATCCTTTCCAATAAGTTAATATCCTTAGATAAGGAGACCAAAAACTACTGGATTATCTCAAAGTTTTCTCACAACAGAAATACTACTAACTGGTCTATACTTTCCATAGTCATTCGTATCACATACCAAAAATGAAAGAAGTTAACATGATATTTGAGCTCCTATTACTGAGCCTCAGGGATCAGCATTTCAACCTTTGCTTCTTGTGTCAATTAATAATGATATTGACAGAAGCACAATTAAAAAATGAGTAAAATCTGCTGATGACAATAAACTTTTCGATATTTCTAATTACACTGAGGATGTTTAAGCACTATGGAATGAATTGGTTCAAATGATAAGTTGGACAAGTAGATGGCAAATTGACAAATTAATTCAAAGTAATGAAATGATTATCATAATTTGGATTGCACACTTAATACACATGGGAACCATTCAATTGAAGGACTGAAAAAAGGACCTTGACATAGTGATGGAAAAGTCACTCAAGACAATGAAATAGTGCTCAGTTGCCAGAAGGAAAGATAATAGAATTTTAAGGTGTTTTTATAGACATAGTGATTAGAAGTTTAAAAATGTAATTATCTCTATAAGAATTACTAGTTAGACCTCATTTGGTATACTGAATGCAGTTTTTGTCTAATTTATCTAAAAAAAGGATACTGTACAAAGAGAATGATCTGAAAACAGACTAATTCATAAACTGGGGACTCTCCACCCTCATGTTTTATCTTCACATGATCACAGGTTTTATCACATTAATTTTATCTAATAAATAGTTTGAAAGCTTTTATAATATCACAAAAAAGGTCTACTAGGATTATTCATGAGATAGAAGGATTATCTTATTTTTTTCTCCTAAGAAAAGAAAGTTAAGAGGTGATCTTAATGAAGGTTATAATATTATCCAAGGCTTAACAGTTAAAGGACTACAAGTTCTTTGTCTTATTTTCTGAAGACAATAGGATGAGATTAAACAAATTTAAGATTTGGAAAATACGGGGTAAATTTCAGTCAAACCTCTCGCTATAGGCATCCTTTTCTGAGCATGTCACAAGGTTTTACTAAATTACATTTAAAATTTAATTAAACTAATTTCTTATCATGGTATACAAATAAACTTGGTATAAAAATGCAGCTAATAATCCACATTTTAATATTATACAAGTTTTAAGTTCTTAATTTTATAAGATAATATTATAAAAAATCCTTAATTTCTCCAATATGAGAAGTGTGACATTTGCTCTCTTGGAATTACCTCTTCTCTAATTTATTTACCACCCCACCAAGAAGTACAAAATTTAATTGTTTGTTTGAAGTTAAGCACAAAGCTACACAATGGGCTATCTGTGCTCTACCCACCATGGGTATCGAAGCACAGTTTCTGAGTTGTAAGTCTGCAGACATACCGCTGTGCCACTGGGAGGCACAAAAT